TGGGATATAATGAAATCATAGCAGCCGCGCGGAATGTGACGCGGTGGAATCATGCGTGGAATACGTAATATCGCGGGCGCGACTGAACGTGTTATCTTTTTCGCGCCGATCGATTCTCCCTTCTTTCTTTCTTTTTATTCTCAACGCGAGAATGGACGTCGTGCCGCAATTAACGGCGAAACTCCCGAATAACTCGTAATAACGAGTCGCGCTGATCGCGAATCATTAGAACTTGATCATCCCGCGTTGCTGCAGCCGCTTCACTCACAACACGTCCTTGTTGCGGTTACGTGCCTGGGGTTTAAGAGAGGACGACCTAGAACCTGAAACCGTGAACTCGCTCGCGATTACGGGGTCGAGGTGAAGAGGCTCGCTCTCCCGGAGGTTTTAACACGATCGGGCAGCTCGTTACATATGCGGGCATAGCAGTGGCGGGTTTTTTCCCCCAAGAAAAACGCTCTTCTACACGAGTACGTATTCACCAAGTATTCACGCGCGCTCTTATGCCCACGTATGTAAAAATAATTTACACGCGGCAACGCGTATCATTATCTTTACATATGCAGATTGGACGTATACGCGGCGCGATTTACGGAACAAAGTGCCCTGTAAGCCCTCGATAAGCTTAACACAAGATTTATTCCTATGTATTTAGACAAATGCGCGGATAAAATTTAATTTCGTTTTCAATAGATCACATTATATATAGTGCATTATATATATATATATATATATATATATATATAGTATTTTTGAAATTTTTTTACTTTGTCTTACTTCGCGTTTCGTATCGTTAGAAATGGTAGAACTTACGTATAAGTCGTAACTCACGGTATAGCGTAGGAAGAACCGGTAAGAGCAGTATAATTTTACGAATGGCAGTTCTTTCCTGATACCTAGCAGTTTTATCAGTGATCGTTCTGATAAGAGGGCGACCGGAAATTGCATCGTCATAACATTCAGCCGCTCTAAGAAAATTAATCGAAAGCAAAGAGGGAGGATTCTCGTAATCGTCGAAGGCATTCCTTGTTCGCGTTGCCTCGGACAAGTGCAATCGCTTCAGAGCTTCTCGCATAATATCGCGTCCCTCGAGCTAAACAGACTGGCAAATAAGGAAGACGAGTAAAAGTGGCCGATATCGTCGAATCATTTGATCTCTGAATCTTTATTAAGACGACCGTGCTATCCGGTCGATCCATTTCTACAGTAATTTATTGAATTTCTGAAATACGAGTAATTTGTTTCCGTCATGAAAATTTCAGCCGTTTGTGTCGGGCACCTCGGGTGCATATTTATAATACCGCTTCTTATTGACAGGTATTTTAAGCTTTGGAAAACACTTTTGACGCTTTGACTCTCGCTCGCACTTGTAAAAACTTCGCGAGGAAGTTGCGCGTTTTGTTCCTCGCGAGAGGAAACCACGTCGGCTCGCGTTTTAGCCGGAGACGAGCGTCTTCGAAGAAATGGTCGACGAGAGAGAGAGAGAGAGGGAGGGGGGGAAGGAGAGGTAGAAAGGCATAGAAGAGCGAATGGATTTGCTCGCCCTTTGCCGCCCGTAGAAAAAGGGTCGACTCCAACCGGAGACCTTGGGTCGGAAGAGGAATGCAAATCGAGACCGGTCACGAATATTCTAATGTGCAGTTAGTCCTTACACGACGATTGCGAGAGAATCGTCATTCGGTTTCTCCCATCGGGCGCAATAACCACGATTGCACCCGGGGCGCGTGTTTGCGCGTTCAGAATGTTCACGGTCCTCGAGATTAGATGCTTCGCGTGCCTCCGAATAAGCTCTGGAACGCTGGAGATGACGATGTCGAATCTCGTTACGACCGACGTATTTGCGATATTTTTAGTGTCGTAAACGGACAAACAGGTTGCCATCCTTTTCCAATTAACTCTCGCAACAGCTTCTCGATGATGCGTTGATTAGACTAGATGTATTGGGGAATGTCTGGCTAAACAGAATCATTATAGAATTATAGATCGTTCAACTTCTTCGCTGAAATTATCTTCGTCGTTTAGATGCTTTGCTGGCTATTTTTGTAGCATATAATTTAATATATAAACATTTTAGATGTAATATGCTTTCTTTAGCACTTTCGTTTCTATAATAATACAAAGACGTTTATGACATCTATAATGTATATCAGGATATATATTATGCATTTTTACGTGCGTATAATGATGCTGGCAATGCGTTACGATACGACATTCCCGCGACAAGACCGCTCGTGAGAGTGCGAGATTTAGAGACGTGGAAACGGAGTCGAGAAGAGGGAAAAACGTCCGCCGGCGGTTGCTGCACGATCAAACCCCGGGATAACCCCGGAGAAAATGCTGCCAGGCCGCAGAAGAGGGGGGACGTAGATAGATGCGAGCGGACACGATGGTAGTAAAGTTCACGGAAGAAATACGCGATACGTAGAAGAAGGGCCCTAGGAAAGCGCAAGTTCCCAAGGAGAGGATTTCGCTTTACGATCGCAAGAACGGACCGCGAGTCCTCGTTTCCGCTCATCTCTTCTTCGATTTTGTTCCGTCGGTTATTCCGAGAATTCTCGCGATCCGATATCTTACGGTCCTTTTTTTGGTACAGCCATTTCTGCGCCGTGCTATTTTTCTACGACTAGATTTATGCCTCGTTTACGCAGAGGTCGTAACGCGAGCGGACTTAAATGGGCGGAAGGGCAAAATTAGTAGAAGTCTAATGACTATCGATTATCATACTTTGGAGAATCTCGAGACTGGCGCTCGTATATGTGAACGTCCTGCGTCTATAAATCAATCAAAACGCACAAAGTATCGACAATCAAATCTTCAATCAAATTTTCAATTGAATTAGACGGCTTTGAGGGTCTCAGTTGTACGAACATTCGCGAGTGTCTAAATCGTTTTTAAAACACGGTATCACGTAACGTACGAGCGGTACCCTTTGAACGTTTGACACGGAGCAAGTCCGAGACGAGAGCGGTCGGTTACGTGTAATTTGTACAGGATCTTTTCTCCGCAGAGGTGAGAGAAGTTCGCAGTCAAGGCTCCTATCTCGAAGTCATTGACATTGGCGGCCGACACGAAGAGACTGATGCTCACCATTATATCGAACGGTTAATAAAACAGCGACACTCTCATTGTACACAGTCATTCAATTATCGTTTTCAAACATGTGACTCACTGTCATCTTCTTTCTACATTGGACTCGCATTATCTCCATGAATTTGGAAGAGATTTTAAACGGTCAGAAATTGCTAAGCGATTACTAAGCGACTATATATTATAGTAATTTAAATATCTTTATTATTATGCAAATAAAGCCCTGCGAACTTTTGTTAAATATTTTCCAAGCAGAACAATCATTCACGATAATGTTAAAATAAATCGTGATTGATCGAAAAGTGATTTTTAATAATCATTTTAGAGCCATTTTCACACACCATTTTTGATATCATTATGACTTTTTGTTCCGCTTGACTTGTCCCTCATAATCTCATCTTAATTTTAGTAAAAGGTCTGGTATCACGTTTCCTGAGTTTAAATTTAGGAAAGGGGGAGTGCTTCTCGCATTCAAATCTTATCTCGGGGCCCGCAGACGGAACGGGGACCCGTTCGCAGACGCAATGCTCTCGCCCGTCAGATGTTGAATGTTCTTAATGGCATTACCTGACGAAGCGTTGCGCTTCTCCGCGCGATTTCGTTTCGGTGCGCGTTCTGAAACGCGCGCGGCGCGACCGCTTTTTTGGCGTTGCATGCGCATGATGAGATCTATTATCTCGAATGACTGTCCTCTTTCGCTGTCGGCTTCTGCGAACGTGGCGCGCCGGTGAACGTCCTCTCTCTCGGCGGGACACCATCAAGCGTACACCGTCAGGGTACGGACAGTAGTCGTCGCTCTCGCCATGTGCTTTCGCGTTCAAATATATTGCGTTAAATATAAATAAACAATGTCTGTTATAATAGAGAAGCCAAAGATATCCGTCGAAAAATTTATAAATCAAGCCCTCAATGTCCTTTCGCGGAAAGGCCTTCGGTGAAAGACGTATATCATAAGTATTCGCACGCAAATGTTATTTCACACTTCGGCAGAGCTACCTACTTGATATTCGACGTAGATCGAGATATTAGTGCGGGACGATAGGTATGTATGTCCTCGGGCGACGTTAAGACGACAGCCATAATTCACAAGCGACGGTCTTCATCAGTTGTCACCTGCCGTGCCCCGCTATTAGCTATGCGCGACACGGAGGCGTCACTTCCTCCGACTCGATTTCCGGCCGCCGGAAACGTCCTTCTAAACCGTGGTTGAATCCTTAAATGAAAATGATCTCCCGCGGGTTCCCCTCCGCTTTTTCGATCATCAATCGAGACGAATCATCGTCGAGTGCGCCATTGCGTAATCCGTAATCCATTGCAACGCGCTTATATACACGCACGTAGATGTACGCACATGGAGGCATGTTTGAAGGGAATTCTTCCAGGGAACGTTATAGGAAATTACCAGACATATTTCATGTCGCAAATCCGAGAGAGCGTCTTAGAAAATTGGTTAATAAATAATGCTTGCAGATTACCTCTCTCCGGAGAGACGCATAAATATTTCCGATATTCTCGCGCAGCGAAAACGCTCGAAGACGTTAAAATTACCTTATTACGGAGTCATTCGGAACCCATACACTTCCCATCCACGGTGAATATTGAAACGGAGTGAAGCCGTAAAAAGGAATAGGAAATATATGTCACATCAGGAAAGAGCTCGGAATTTCCAGTCTCGCGAGGTATTATATAGTTGACGACGTGACACGTTTACGATTGCGTACGCGGGTACCATTTGATATAGCGAGTATCATTTTTTAACAATTTCAGCATTTTAACGATTTCAATGTTCGTATATGATCGCGACATTCCGCAAAGTGTCTCCGGTTTCTTTTATATGCGTACAAGAGTCGATTCCTCTTTCGTTGTTGTCTGTTTTTGAATCTGTACGTACGATGTGTTTTCGCTGTCGGCAGCAATCGATACGGTCTGACGAACGAGGATCTGAATCGACGCTGGAGCAGTCCCAATCGGACGTATCATCCGGTGATCTATCACACGAAGGGCCTGATGGAGTATTGCGCCAGGGTGCTGCAGCGACCGCCCCACGTTTTCGTCGACTATCACGGCCATTCGCGGAGGAAGAACGTGTTTCTGTTCGGTTGTTCAAGGTCGGGTTCCTGGAGCGCCGCGGACAGGACGAAACCGGACCAGCCGGTGCAGTATTTGGTAAGGGAATCGACGGAAGGGAATCGAGGCTAGGTAATATTTTTAGATCTCGCGCGGCGATCATTTATCCTATACGTTTTACGTACCTGCCACCGGGCCGGCCCGGCGGACGTTTATCACTTTCAGCGACCGTCCTTTTCCACAACGAAATGAATTTTCGATTTGCACGAGCAATTACTCGCCGACAGCTACCTATTCATTTCGCGCGTCGCCTCGCCACGTTAATGCCATTAGTCAGAACGTTAACGAGAAAGTGCTTTGAGAAAGTATATTCCTTTTCTCGCATCACGGGACCCTGCAGTTTCGTCAAAGCCTCCGAATGCGCTCTCGTAACTCGTTGCAACTCTCTTTCTGTATCAGATGTTACCGCATCTCATGCAGAGAACCTCGCCGGCTTTCGCTTTGCCGCTCTGCTCCTTCAAGGTCGAGAGGAACAAGGAATCTACCGCCAGGGTCGCTATATGGCGGCAGTTGGGTATTCCGAGGTAAACGGCGACTATATCCTGAGCAGATTGGGATCTGACTCGCAATGAGATTTCGCGTAGCAAGGTCGAGGTTACGCGTGTCTCGCAAAAAATCTATTCTTTTGCAATTTAAATCGCAGTACGCGACTTCACATTTAATATGCAAAATTAACTCAATAAAACATTTCCTTTTACATTTAAATTATAGCCCTGCTACTTAACAATTTTTATTCGAACAGAAGTTACACGATGGAAAGCAGTTTTTGTGGATGCGATCAAGGCGTATTGGCGGGATTACATCTCGACACAGAACACCTCAAAGCCATCGGGAGAGACTTCTGCCAAGCTTTATCCATGATGAAGGACGGCGATGACGATTGGGCGAAAGAAAAGTACGTGCGCAAATATGTCGTGTTATTAATTCATTTTTTACAGTATATAAATCTTCGCTTAAATATAAATTTGTTGAGAGACACATTTGATTGAATATCTGTTAAAAGAAAATTTACTAAGTATCAAGAAGGAAATGTGTGCCTCCAGGAACTGTACTTTAATCGACGAATTATTTTCTAAGATCCGTCATTTTCGAAGAGAATAATTTTTTAAGTTTTAACTCTCTACGGGACTTGAATAAAAGGTTTTACAGAATTTACATATTATTCAACATAGATCAACAGAGCAAGCCTGTTGCCCGAGAATGTGTGTCTTACGAAAGTCACGGAAGATACCGAAATGTATTCAAGATAAACACGCTATACATCACACCACGGCACTTACTTAGCAAACGAGATAATTAAACAATTGTATTATAAGGCAAGATTTGTGTGTGACCTTCCGTGTGCGCGTAATGCTAATTTAACGCTTTCGCTAAATTGTTCTGTATCATCAACACATGTTGCCCTTTCCCCCGTTATCGATCAAAATTAATATGTTTCTGTAAACTAACCATAATAGCTAGTAAGTGAAAAGAGCTGTCATTTGATTAATACATCCATTACTCTTCAAGATAATCGACAGCTCGCTTATTTAGCTTATCATTCAATATATTTCTTGTCAGTTGTGCCTGTTACTCTTTTTAGAATTCCCATGGAGAAACATATTCCCGTGGAATCAAGATGTATGGACAACGACATATCTTCCAGTAGTGAATCCAATGATTCCGACTTCGAGACTTAATTAGGCGACTGCACTTTAGTCTCAAGTATCATCTGCAGCTGTTTTAACAACAAAATTCATATTACAAATATTTACTCTCGTATACTTCTTTGTATTAAATTTAAAATTTAATACAAAAATTACTTCTATTTCGAATAAAATAATAGTATGATACAAAGCAATATTTCACTGCACAAAGATAAATATTTTAAACATTTATATTTAAAACTGGTAACAAACATTTAAAGCTCTTCTCTATAAAAATACTATCTACATATCGTAAACTCTATTTGTACATATTTTGGAAATCAATATTTCGCAAATTAAGTTCTATGATAAACGAGATTATGTTCGCTGTAGATTTAATGCGTGATTTAAAATACGTAAATGCTATTTTAAGTTAGTATGGTCGCGTACTATTCAGCACGGAAATAAAATTCTCGTAAATTGCAAATATATCACAAAATCACTATCTAAAGTGATGAAACAATGATATTTAGAAAGCTTTACATTACAGCTTACATTTTTGAAAAATTTAAATCATCTCTTAAATAAAACAGGTTTAAATAATACCAAAGATAAAGGGAACTGTGTCATTCCCTATAACATGATACCTCGTTCTATTATACTTTGTATACATAACATATGATTATATAAATATAGGAAATAAACATTAATGCTGTGGTTCCCTGATAAGTTTATAAGACCTTGTCCTAAAACTTCCTAAAACAATTATTTGCGTTCTACGGATTATCCTTTTCGATAAGATTTTTACACGCGTATCAATAATCTAATTGCTATAAATTATAGCTAATTGTAAGTTTTGTGATTTTTGGCTATTATTACGTTGCGCTTTTTACAAGCATTTAATATATTTTTAGTGCATTATACGACGTATAGTGACATGAATGTAGAAATAATCCGAATGATAATATAATCAACGAAGGAATTTGAAACTTCAATAAACTAATTTATAATAATGTGCAAAATCCGTAAATATATTGAATAATATCTAAATAAATAATTATCTGTGTTACATAGTACAATATAAATATAAAAAATTGCATCGTATAATGCGAATATATTAATATCAGCGTTTAAATTCTGAAAACAGAGGAAGTGTTACATCCGGCACTTTATATTGCAGAATTCATGGTGATATTGCTTGTATTACTTTTGAACGGAAACGTTTCTTTATTACTCTTATTATGTTACTTTATTACGAAGCAAATTTTGAATAAAAAATTTATTTTTTGATAGAAACACCATCGTGTCCAATTAAGCGTAATCAGTCATGTACTACTTGTTCACTCATATCACTTTAAGACCCAATCGTTATCAAAATTCAACGATAACGTATGTATCGCGTGTGAATACATCTCATTACATTATCATTAATTCTATGAAATTTGGCAATGATTGTATTTCATTATAAATAACAAATGTCTACAATATATAAATTTTTTCGTAATGGAGGATTTTCATCGCTGCTCCTCGCAGGCTAAATTACTCGTACAACAATTGATAGTTAAAAAAATTCGTCGATGAAATTACGACGTAAAATTGTGCCCTGTATAATGTTAATTGACTGAGTCGAGATTATACATGGAAAAAAATTATTCTTACATTCACAAATTAGTTGATTAAAGTGAAAAAGAGGATTCATTAGTTTGTGATCACAGTTTTCATGAGACTCTATTTAAATTTAAGCACAGACATCGGAATGAACTTCGATAACATTATTGTCTCTTTGGCGCATTAACGATGTGTGTAGTCATTGTATAATCCACCTCACCGAAAAATAGCCTAACGCTTTATTATAAACATATAAAGCTTGCGTAATCCAAATTTGTTTCATACAAATTGTCAAGAAATTGTTACTGTTTCTACTGGTGTGTGTGTGTGTGTGCATGCGCGCGTGCGTTTATATACGCAAAAACTAGAATAAACCGAATGAGATTGTAGCACGGTTCCTATTATACTAATCATTACTTCCAACAGTGCAAATAATTTTTGTTGATTAACAATTAATCAATCTCTCGTTTAATAATTCGATAAACACCGATATGTGCACACTCGCGCACATTTAGAAAAGCGAAAATAAAGCAGTAACACGAGGATATTCATCATTATCGGCTGAATTTGCATCTTACGGCGGAATATCAAGCTTCCATTTATCCACATTTGGTTCACACGATTTATCTTAGGTCCTAAGCGAACGCTAATCTTCTACGGAAATATGAATTTTGATAAGGTAATTTTGATAACACGTAAAAGATTACAATGGGTTATACATTCGTGCCGAGTCAGCAGAATAATTGGCCTGGGTAATCGAGAACCGCATTACTCGATGCCGTGTAACTTCTTCAGGTGCAACTTCATCTGCTCGTAGGTCACCCACAGTACGATGTTCCAGGATACTAGGCGGTAGAAACTCGGCACGAAGCCTTTGTAGAACGCGGACGGGCCTTCCTGGACGAAGGTCTTGATAGTGCAGTCTATCGCGCCCTTGTACTCGCCGGCGGCGCTGTTCATGTAACGCGTCTTCACGACGTCCACGGGGCTTGCGACCAGGGTGGTGCAGAGTCCAGCGACCGTCGCGGCGGTCAAGTGACACGGTATCCCGTCGCGAAGATAACCGCTGGCCAGGATGAGATCCTTGATGATGTCGTAACAGACTATCTCCGCCACGTTGACAATAACGTTCCGCGAGATGTTTGGTATGGTTCCTACATGCGACGAAATAACGGATTACTTTTCACGATATTTAACAAAAATGTCACATTTGTTTTAACTATTGTTTGTGCAATCATAAAAAAATTATAAATACAAAAAAATGTTTAGAACTGTAAATATTCTACTCTGTGAGAATAAGACTCACCTTTCCAAAGACCTTTCACGCCTTCTCCCCTGGCGATGTTCTTGTATGCCTGCAGAGTCGAGGTGTACCTCACCGATGATCGCCCATTATTTCCAGCCTGCATACGAATCTTGACGACGTCGGTCGGCTGAGCGATCATCACCGCCAAAGCGCCTGTCGTGATTCCTGCGGAGACGCGTACGCCGATGTTCAACGACGTACCGCTCTTATTGTTATCTGTTGAAATAAAAGCGCACGATGAAGAATTAGATAGTTCAAAAATTAAGAAGCGAGACAAGATGAACGCGGATAGCGCGTCGATCACTTTTTATTACCTTATTCAATGTTCACCAAACGAGCAATATTGGTTTTAATGAGTTTTAATGAGTTTTAATATTCACAAGCGTTAGCAACCTTTCTCAGAGTCACTTGATTGACGTTAATTACGAACAATTGTTTATCGAGAACGGATGACAACATTGTGTCACGAGCGTCCCAAAAGTAAGAATCTACTCATTGATTAAATTGAGATAACAAAAGCAAATAAATTTTATGTAAAAAAATAGAAAAAAGATACAAAATTAGAATTCTATTTTAAATTCGAAATTATAAAGTTCAGATATAAATTTATTTTATCTCATTTTTTAGTAGCATTAATATCGATTCTCGTTGCTCAGTTTACAAAATAGATAAATTATGATAAAATGTCTTCGATTAACATAAATTATATGTATAATCTATATTCAAATCATAATAAATCATCGATAGTATACACAAATGTGGAACCCCAACTAATCACCACTTAAAAGATAAAAAATTTGGAATATATATGTATTATATTAGTAAATATATACACAAACGAATACAACTTTTAACATTTAAGAATTCTGTAAATTTATTTTTACACACGTTTCTTTTAAAAATAATTGTAAAATTCCCAAATGTTAATGATACCGAAAAGATAGACATAGCGATTGAATCACTATAAATATATATATTTGATTGAGTGAGAAAAGTCTCAGCAATTCGTCAAAGATAGATTATCTTAATTTCAAAACAGATATATTTACAACAACAAAATTGTGAAAAAGATAACAGTTTGCCAATTTGACAAATTAAAACTTCTCTGCGAATGTAAGTCAAGTAAAATGTATAAATATGTAATAATCTCACGATTGTTCGGTGCAGCGAGTAAGAGTTACAAAAGCTGAATCTTCGTCTTTGCTGTATATTCAATCTCTTAGCTCTCCCATTTCCATTTTCTGATCGTTAACTTATCTGTCTTTCAATCTCCCTTTCCTCCTTTCTCAGTCTCGAAAATGATAAAGACGAGAACGAGGAAGAATACACGTTTCCAAGCCGATCCAACCCGCACGTGAAGTTTACGAGAGTTTTCGTGATAAAGCGAATGATCGGTATGATAATCCGCCGTGAATACCTATGTGCATGTGTATCTATACGTATATAGTGTTAGACACATTTAGTATTAGACATTAATTATTAACTGTCATTCTTAACCAAATATTTTTTAACATATCTACATTTTTTCAATGTTACAAAGTTGTATAATAACGTTAGCAAAGATTTAGTTTACAATTAAATTAGCCAAATATTGTCTAACACTGTGGTGTGTATGACGTGTTACACGTGCGTGTTACTAATATGATGAAACGTGCGGTTTTATTATACAAGATGGCAATGTACATGTACGTTATGTACGCGTTTAAGAAATTGTACCGCGGCTACTCTCGTATATTATCAAAAGTTAGGAGTTTGTTGGCTGTACCGTCGAAGATTCCAGCGTAGAGTGACTTCACGCTGTCGTAGAGGCCCAACCGTATGCCGGCGAAACACATCTGTCTCTGGAGTCCCGCGGATAGACCTCCATACAGCTTCCTGTAACCACCCTCTCTCAAGCTCACCGCCCTCACTATTCACCCTCAAACTCTTCTCCAGGGCTTGTTTACACATTTCTCTCTCTCTCTTTCTCTCTTTTTGTCTCATAATTTTTTACTGTTTTTTTTAATATTCGCCTTTCACGCAAATATTACGCAACTTTTATTTATCTTCTCCTCTTTCCGCTATTCGCGCGATTTGAAATACCGTTTTTCTTTTTGTTATGTATAGATATTCTATAGGTACTGAATGCTTTTAGCGAAAGTCAATAGTACTTATTCATATGAAGTGATTTTCCGTTTGAATGCGCGTGAGAGAAAAGAGAAGCGGCCCGAGAGCCGAGAAATAATCAGGAGAGAGCGTGTATCATCGTCAGCTGGCCACGAATTTTAATGTTGTATCGTAATTTGAAACTTAAATAAGGAAGAAGGTACCGGTGATTGGGAAAGTTATTGCTGTATATGTATATATATATATATATATATATATATATATATATGTACATATAAGCAAAGTAAATAAAATAAAAAGAGAAACTGAGAAAGAAAAGAGAGAAACTACGTGAGAACTTAAGAGAAATGTATCACGGAGGAGAGATGTGTGAGGGGGATAAACGGGTTGTCTTTCGAAATTTTATCAGCAGCTTCATCGGAGAGTGACGACTATCAAGATATTGGAAGAAATTTCGTGACATTTTATGCGGCGTTACAAAAAAAGTTTACGTCAAGTATCACGTATCCACTTGTATCAATTCGTGCATCATGAATTCTTTTTACTGCAGAAACTGATATGGAGAAATTTATAAACATTCTGCACAAAAAATATGAAAAAAGAGTTCGATTAATTTTACGAAAAGCGATAACATAAAAGAGAGATACGAAAGATAACCCGTGCAAGATAAAAATAAAAATAAGAATAATTTGTAAAAATAACGAAATAATGAGTAAGAGGAATTGATGGAAATGCCATCGACAAGACCGCTTATTTTGTTCTATATATTTCGACCTTCATCGGCATATAATGCATAATCCTTGGAAGCTAGTTGCATTCTTCTATCTATCTTGCTTGCACATAAATTGTTCTACGTGGGCAAGCACACGCTTGTTTATGGCATTCAATCGAAGGATGAAATCAAAATCGTATTTATACGGGAATTAATCGCAAGTTTCTAGAAAAGTTTTCGCAGAACGAGTAGTACGCACATGTGCCAGATATCGAGCGAAATCTCGAGTGAAAACACGATAAGCTACGAATATTTTCTCATCGATCCTTTCCTTATTGACATATCACGAGAATGAAAAATACCCAGTTAAATAAGTAAAGTTAATCGATATACGTCATAATGCTTAAACAAGGTCATTCTGTAACATGGTAAACACCTATGGCAAACATCTATAATATGTATATAATCCAATTGTTCAAAAATACTATAAGAAGAAACTTAAATACTTTTTTAAGATTATTTTGTATGTAAAAATTTTAAAGTTTTACACATTTAATAAATTGTATTTAAATTAATTTTTAACAGATTTTTTTATGTTTAGCATATTGCTTTATACGTGTCATAATTAATAAACAATAAAAAAATTAATCGACTCGATTTGGCACACGCCGAAACAAAAGAATTGGTTAATAATAATAGAACGTGTATTACGAAAAGCACTGCGTGTTATATCATTTCAGAGAGATCGACAGTTAAACATAAGATAATTATTGTATCGACGAGCGATCGCTTTATAAATATTTTCTATACAAACTTTAAATTGAACCATCACTCTTAATTTAATGTAAGTGCAAGAGAGGGTCTTGCACTTACAGATTTGTACAATATAATACAGATTTGTACATATAATTATATTATATATGTACAAATTGCAATATTATGTATAAATGTTAATAACGCAAATAAAGTTGTTCTACCTACCTACATCTCTTAAATTACTATTAGGATAACGAACAACGTACCTTGCGCCTTCGTGTCTGACGATGTTCGCAATGGTTTGGAACAATCCAGGTTGGTTCGTTTTTACTGCAAGGACCGACCCTTCCGCTGATGTCAGCAACATGGCTTGGCCTTCCCCCGCGATCTTGAAAAATCACATTTCGATCGTGAAGGAAATAATTCAAATTTTTAGAACGGCAAACGAGAAGACGCAACGAGATTAACACGCGATTATTTCGAGGGATGTAATCCGAGCGCAATTGTTATTACTTTGCTCACCTGCATTCTGACTTTGGCGGTGTCCAACGGAAAGGTGGCTAAATCAGCGATGCAGGCCGCGCTGCCCGCGGTAAGTAATTTCACGCCAATTGAAAAGTCGTCCGACATTCCTTGCTTCATGATTTTCGCTGTTCGAGTCACTCCTTTTTTTCTCTTCTATAGATTCTCTCCCTCCTATATGCTGCTGATGCGTGCTGTTAAAGGTGCGCGTGTGGACGCCTCGTGGAGAATAGTGTGCAGGATTCTTGGATAAATTTCCGGCTAATTTTTCCTCGCGTGACAGTAAAGATCCTTCGAGCTCGCTTGTTCCGTTTCAGCGGGATCCCTTTTTTGTTAAGCAAGCGGTTCTATTATGTACACTATATACAAAGTCCTACCAGAGGACCAGAAACCTTCAGGAGTTCATGAATCCAACTGGTCTTAAAGATATGCTTCCCTGAAGTGATCGGGATACGCGTGGAGCCCTCCCGATCGCGGGCACTCGTGTTTGATTTCCTGATAGTGAACTTCTTTATTCATACTATTCTTCTGTGAACAAACGATGCGAAAGAATAATAGCGTGGTACAATATTCTGGCGTGAGAATTAAACGATCGGCACGATGCGAACGCAATGCGACTGTCGCCGTTAAGCTGATAGCCGCTACTTTTATCCTATAATGAGAGAGTGCAGGGTACGATTTCTATACAAAATGATAAGCGCAAAAGTAATCGCGTCGCAGACCGAAGGTAGTGCGTTTGATTGCCCATTTATCTCCGATAATTGCGCAATCAAACGACCATTGAACGAGGCGGTCTCGCGACCATTGATCGGCGTCGAAAATCCACTTGTGCGTGAATGTGTCGCGTTATCATCGCGAACCACTCACACGCGACAAGATTCTGAAATAAGTATATCTGAATGAGGGCTATTAATATCATAACGATCCGTACGTAACGCTAATCGCGATTAATAACGAGCAACATTCGCCTGCCGGCGTCGTTATCACTTGGCACGTGCCTTTCGAAATTACGTCGACGACGGATTTCCCACGATCGTGTCGTATAAGCGTAATACCGCGTCGGGCGTATCCTCGTTTCTGCCCCCGAAAGAAAGACTCTTGGCCACGGCACGCCCGCGGGTATACCGAAATAGATTGCCGTAGATGAGCGAGAGAACTTTGGTCGAAGAGAAGCTTGGTGACTTGCCAATGCCGAGGAGAGAAGCTCGGGGAAGTGTCTTAATTCGTGATTATAATTTATAGTGATTAACATCTCGGCGCTTAAGCGACACGCATTTCTCGTACGTTACGTCATTTGTTCGCTTCGGCATTATTTGTGCTTGGATGCGGCATTGTACAAAATACCACAAAAATAATTGGAGTAGCAACGATCGTACATTCATATCTACGTCGCGGTAAATTGATAAATATGTATAAGTAGACTAAATAAATGGTAGGGTGACGAGTAGGAGTTCAAAGAACGCGACGAAGCGCGATCGCGCGGTAGACTTTGTCCGATCATTTTACTTTGTAGAATAACGTCTATTGAATATCAATCGCGACTGGTTGATCCGCCACTATTGAGCTTAAACGAGCAATTATACAATGAAATCAATGCATCGTGAGTATGCAGTTATTTGCTATTCAATTGAGGAAACGGTCGCGTCAGCGAACTTCGAGCCTCTTATTTTTTTAAAACGTAAATTCACGAGAGATGGATAGCATTATTTGGCCGGTAGCGCTCTATTTTTTTATTTTTCGACTTGTAAATGAATTATTACGAGCTACCTGATTAACCAAGTCCTATTAAAACGAGCCGTTTACGCAACGAACAAACTGAAAGTTCCAGTACATAGTCCAACAATCATCTCGCGCTGGTGCGTTTTAAAATTTACCACCACAAACCCGTATTGTGCGACGCGGTGCAAAGTCCACGTTTGAATTATTTTCGCCGCGTGACGAAGACATCGCGTTGGTGCCGTGCCTCCGCAACGTCACACGCATTTATCATTGCAAGTGATGGCAGAATTTCCCACTGTCATGGGGCTTTATGTTTTTAACTATAATTTGAAAGACATAAGAAAATTTACAGAGATTGAAAATTATCCTATATTTTAAGGTCATCGTATATCTGATATTTGATTTTAAAATAATTTTATGTCGCATACGATATACAACGTAAATTAAATTATAAATCAGACTATTTTTTTTTTCAATATAAAGAGCTAATCATTCGCTTGTTGCTGTCCTTTCCAAAGAAATCAGGATAGCCTTCGCGATATGCGGAACTCTTGCGGTATCCTTGTGCGAGAATACGCCGGTGCGAAATGAAAGCTAGACTCATATTGATTGTTCCTATCACGTTGAGAAAAAAAGCATAGAATATATACACATTTGGAAAGAATGGCGAAACATTGTCGGCATTATTTTCCAATACAGAATTCAAAATACATATGTGATACATAATGATATAATTTTTGTAATTATAATACATATATAATTTTATCTTTAATCTCAAAATTTTTGATCGTATTTCTCCTTTATTTTTTTTTATTTTTTCAAAACTGTGTCAGTTGACATAGAATTGCGTTAAATTTTTTTTTTTTTTTTTTTTTTTTACGAAACTGCAGTTACTTGACGCAATTTAGAGTGGATTATTTCGGTCTAGGTCAGTAAGTCAAGTTCGAGCTCATGCATTATTTTTCGAAGAACTCCTCGTTTCCAGCTGTTCACGAATCAATAGATGACAGAGTCATGTGCGACGCAGTAAAATAAAAATTCACACGTCAAAATATTCGTTATGTTTATTTGCCGTATATCCCGCGGCGTAGGCTATATTGGCGGAATCGACGTAGCACGTACAGATCCGGTGCATCGCAAAATGCAGCGAGGTACCGCGTTTCTACTTCGCCAACGAATCGGCGTTGTTTCTTGGACATTTCAGCACGACTCGTATCTCGCTAAATTGCTCGCAAAGCCATCTGACTCGCAAACATATGTTTTTACGTGAACCGAACGATACTCGCTGGTGCATGGGAAAACTACTTCGTGTCGTGATTTGTAACTTGCAGAACCGTAGACCGACAATTCGATTTTCTCATGTTACGAATTACGATAACGTTAGTCAGTGCTAATTGTAATTAATTAAATATGTGCTATCTATTTTGTAAAAATTACATTTCAGAAAAAAATATCAGCAAATGAAACACGATGAGAGTCGATCGGCATTGATAGAACCGTGACGTTTCTTGAGTTTCTTGAACGCTCTTTGATTTTTTTATTACAAGCAAAATTAAAGACATTGCAATATAACGCATGTTAAAAATTAAAATAAGAAAATTAAACAGTAAAGCATTAACAATAAGCATAAATATTAGCAACTGTTAAAAAAAATTCCTTTTAATGTAGAATTGCGTTTATAAAATTGATTGTCGATCATATTTCCATTCGTTATGTTTTTCATTAAACAATCAAAACATTTAATAAATATTTTATATTAATACAACCGAAGCAATCATTATTCGTGCAGAAAATCAGCTGCAGTAAACGTAGTATTTGTATTACATGCGCAATCAGCTGTCGCGTCTTGCGGGTTTGATATGATAATCGCGGAATGTCATTTACAATCCTGCAGATGTCAACGGCCATTGATTTTCCGCCGAACGGTGGAAAAATTTCGTGATAAAATAAAAGTAGGATATACCAGATATTACCCCTACATGCCTATACATACAGTGCATCGACACGTAATCATATGTTACCTCAATATCTGGCAATACTATATAAAGATGTAATCGACTTTGAAAACATTATGAAATATGACGAATTTGTTAAGGTACCTCTGATGATAATGGAAGGATCATTTCCATGGCTTAGTATATTCTTGATAAACAGTAATATTATATAGTATATTAACAAATCAAAGGAGTACGTCGTTCGAATCGAATGAGGAAAATCGTAAACGGAAGTATGCAAATGAAAATGAAAATAGCTGGCATACGCTGTTTGATTACGCGGCATTTAACGGATTAGCAAATTGTGAAACGCCAGGAATAATAAGAAAATAAAAATCGCTACTTACCAAGTGTACAGTGAGTGGGTAACAACACAACTGAAAGGAGTTTTGCGGGTAAGCACCGTTTATACCGGCTCGTCGACCAATGGAGGAAGATCAAAGCCGATGCCGCCCAATGGATAGTCGTTCATGGCGTCATTTCCCACCAAGTAACGCCGAGCTTGCGGAAATCGATAATTTCCAGAAGCGCGATGGTGGTCCGCAATCTTTGCGAGGGCGAGTTCGCACCCCTTTTATAAGGGCGTCGTGAAATCTAAGTTGAAGCAACATTTGGTAGCAAGTTGGACTTTCTGTCAAAAAACAAGAAAGAAAAAGACAAGAGAAAACAAGAAATACATTGAAAAAAAATAAAAAGGAAACGAAAAAAAGAAAAAGAAAGAAACCCCTTTTACTCTGAACGTTAAATGTTCATAAAGCCCGATTAAACTAAGCGGATCATCTATCTCGCGTATTTTATTTTCAACTCAGACGACAAAGTTAAATAGATTTAATGATATTTCGTGACGTCAGTTGCTTGCATTTCAAAGGCTTTAAACAATAACGATACTCACAGAATAATGTACCTACTCGTAACATTGCGCAATACAAATTTTTATGCAAATAGTATATTCTATTCGTTTTAACAGATAATAAAGAAATAAAGAGAACGTAATTTTCAGCTGTAATTTTTACGCTAATTAGCTTTTAGCAGTTTTTTTTTATATTTTCTGTTTCTTAAATTACAAGGCCTTACTCGCTTTATCTGTTCTGCAAAATATATGTCTATCTAGCTATAAGGTGAGTCATAGGTATATTTGAAATATATCCTACTTATATATAATTTGTCGAAAAAAATAATTAGTTAATGAAGTCTTTGAGACGCATATACGTATCAGATATGCGTACTAGATATCTTTATGACAGCAACAAGTTACATATAAAATAATTTTCATTCAAGAACCACTTATCCAATCCGATCGATTGGATCGAAGCAACACGTAACACCGGTCTTGTACTTTGACTTTTCAATATCTCGTAGAATTTATTATGTCATCCTTTAGTTAAAAACTTTTATACAAGCTTGTGTCGCTCGAATATAAAATATTGAAATTATTTTTAACTTTATTACCGTAACACAATAGTTTTTATCTTTATACTGCTTTTTTAAGCTTCTCTTATTCGCACATCTCAATATCAGATATCTTTTCTAATTTCCTATGTCTAATAACTTGAAATAACGCGCTGTATTACAAAAATAATTTTTGCTCTTTGATACTTACAATTAGAGAAAAAACTAAATTTAAAAGATAAGATGTGTAAAACTCATTAAGCACTTATTTCTTTTTGCAGATAAAATCATTTCACAATGATCGAATGTTTTTACATTAATGAAAGTTGCGTCGATAGTTAATGAAAAAAATTAACGTTCTTCAAAAATGAAAATAGAAGCGTAATTTGCTTACACAATCTGTGATAGAAATTTGCTCGACTGTCTATAAACAAGCCTACTGTTTAATTATGTCGCGGACTTTATATTTAAAAATTTCTAAATTAATTTTTCCTCTGCTTGCTAAATTGCGTAATTATGTCACGATAAATGTGAGATGCTATTATATTATATAATAAGAGAGACATAAAACATTATTATTATATAAGTATATGTATCATGTCGACAACGTATCGATTTTTCACGATAATGATAAAAAAATGCCATACCGTTTTTTATGACATTTCCAATGATGGGAAACAAATGACGTAGATTGCAAGATCAACTCGCATGTGAAACTAGCTGCTAGCAGATTGTATTATAGCATGGTGTAATAGTAAATGTCACATAGACGCAGCCTTTCTTCGTCGCCGAGTAATTCATCAGGTGTCAGCGAATGGCGATAATTATCGCCACGCGGCCCTCGCCATGTGCCTTGCCATCGCTATGTACGTCGCTACCGGAGCTCTCAGTATAATCCAGCAAGTCTTGTCGATGATCGGCGTGTTCCTATTAACTTTACTGGGTAAAGCGATCTTGTTAGTCGGTCACACAGTAACAAGAGGTCACACCTCGAGGGAACGTCGAGTTACCAGTGAGGAACGGGAATCATACACCGATTCCGAGGACGACCGTGTCACCAGGAGCGAAGCATCTCTGAAATCGAGGCATTCCTCTCAAATGACATCTGTTAATATACAAAGCGACTCGATTCATGACACTTCTATTTCCATCTGACATTCGTCAACGGGTATATTTTTTAAGCGATACTACAATGTCTACGATGCTTGAATTTGGAGTCAGCATGTGCAAAGTATTTTTCTTGCCTATCATTTCTACGGTATATTATTTCTGTCACAAACTTTTTTCAGATATTGATTATGCGAGGTACTATACAAGATTAACGCTGACAATATCGTACCTTCAAATACTCGGAAAAATATTTTTTTTGTCTAGTGCAAAAGTGTAACTGTTATCAGTTATGTAAATAAATTATTGCGGAAATAATTTCGAAGTAATAACGCAAAATTGCGGAAATAAATGTATAAACTACATGTAAGCGCAATTTCCACGTAATTAATATTCCTTTCAGTCTTATCTAGCACATAACAAATTGCCTGTCAAATGGGTTGATAAATTTTATAAATTCACGAAGTATCTGATTTGCTCGGTTTCACGAGATAATTGATAACGATTTTAACATGAATTTTATATTCATCGATGTCACAATTGTATAGTTATTCTTAAACAATCGAAATAATTTTAACTTATTCTTAGAACAAAATTATAAATTTTAGACTTCATTGGAATACGTTAATTAAAGATAAAAGTCCGTATTCAGAACGCACTTATAACGATGCCAGCGTGCATTCAGCATATAATTCATGTTACGTATACTATAAAATTTTAAACGTGTTACCGTGCTAACATCGCTTATAAAAGCGTTCTGATATGGGTCGAAGTGGGTCGAAGGTCTTACTTCTAATAACTTTTTTTTGGTTCATCTGAAAATTAGTCACAAAAATAAATGCATAATAATTATATTCTTCCAATGTGTAAATATAATATTAATTTCAATAACAAACATTTTGATATCATAAGAAAGCATACGTACGATAGTATATCGTAGGAAAGTTCTATACAATAGTATAGTGGACGGAATACGTTAATACACGCCATGAAAAATTCTTGCGACACACAGGCTTAAATCTAATTCATTTTATACGTGGTCGGAACTATGTCGCAACAAGTTCGCAAACATACATATCTACTAGCAAACGTCATAGCAAATAAGAACTTATATAACTCGTATTATATATCATATCGATTAGTTTGCTCTTTGTAAAATTATAATATTAAAAAGCAGTATAGCTGTAAGAATTATATATAACTTTTTTTAAAACAAGTTCTTTGTGCGTACGAATCTGTATATACAGTCGGCAGTGACTTCGTTTAATTAGAAGAAATACTTTGATATCATTTTGTTTCGATATATATTAGACGGGAAAATATATATATGTATCAAATCATATTCAGTTGATAAAAAAGATATATGTAAAAACCATTTTTTAAAATAATTTTATACCGAAAAGAGAGATATTGCAAAACGTAACGTTTTTTATCAGAATAAATTTGTATTAAGATAGAAAATATATACCTATGTAGAATCTCTTTTCTTTGAAAAGGGAAGAGAAATAGCAACAATTCTCTTCTTTATAAAAAAATTATCTTAAAAAAGATATATATATAAATACCTTTTTTATCTACTGCCTATAAAACTATATATGTATCGTGTATATATTATTAATTAACAGGCATAGTCGATACTGCGCTATGAGGCGTTGTAGGTCGAGAGCCAGCAATGGAATGTGTCGTTGATGCATTTAGAGACTGCATTGTACCAATCTAAAACAATAACATATTTTAAATTTTATAGTAGTTTACAATTACAGCATGTACACTTTTGTTGTGTTATGATAATTTATATAATTGATATAATTAATATAATAAAACATATCGTACCCGTAGATGAGCCAGATCTTCTAATCTTGTTAGATCGTGTAATTCGAGATATAAAGAATATACGAGAAGCCAACCGTATGCAGAAATGCAAATAAATGCTATCCATAGAAGACACATCAAGATATTGTAGGCGAATATCATGTCGTTTACAATGCTGAAGAATATAAAAGCAAAGAATCGGAAAAGAGTAAAAATGGCAAAGCTATACAGCCATGGCACCATTTTCTTTTCATATTCTTTCCGCAGAGCTTTGATCAATATTAAAGAAGTCACAAAGACGACTATTCCACCCAACATGGAAAATAATGCAAACACGATCAGAGCATTGCGAACTGAAAAAAAAAAAATATATATAGTTGTATGTTACTACTATTTTGATCAATTTTTGAAGTTTTTTATATTTAAAAAATTCTTTTTTAAAATTAATAAATGGGCTTACCATGTTGATTACCCACATAAACAAATTCATATGATATGATATAATATCCATAGTGTGTGGAGCCAGGCGCCGCTTGTGAGAGACAGTAGATATCAAAGACAGCTGTCCATATCGTGAAAAAGGCTAGGCACTGTAAGAACATTTATTTTATATTACATAAATTACGAGGCGTTTTCAAGAAAATTGCTTTCATTAAACACATACCAATGAAAATATAGCGGTGAACATAGCGCCCCTTTGAATGTCGAGTGCAAAGGCATGTGTCACTATTGGTTTTTGATACCATGGAATTTTTATACTGCGAGCGGATCTCGACGATCTGAGATTTGCACTGCTGCGAGTGGTGGTTACATGAGAGTACACGGATGGTGTTCCCATGCTGGGAGATTTCTTTCCATAATGCATCTTGACTCGCTTGAAAACAAAATCAAGCATGATTAATAAAGTATCAAATAAAACAAAGAACTCAAAGGGTGCTTTCCAGTTAGTGATACAAGTCGACACAAACGTTTATTCTATCCTTCTTAGCATTTAATAAGTAACAAAGACAAAACAGAACTTGCGTCGGCTTGTGTCACTAAATGGAAAGCACTCAATAATATAGTCCATTTATACTTACAATTTATTGAGATTCTAACAAGGTAGCTCAAGTTTCTTATAAATATGATTAATTAACGATATGTATATCTGTGTATCGTGTCCTTTTCTGAAACAGGCATCATATAAACAAAATCTAGTGAGTAGTGCAGTAAAGTTGTTTACTTTGTCAAAAATGTTCAAGCTATTTTCTGCATGAATTTATGAATGTTCCATCAATAATTGAATCACACCAATAAATGCAAAAAAACGCACGCTGACATAATAATGATATAAATTTTTTAACTTTAATAACAAACGTACGTTATGACTCATAGTGCAATTTTGATCAAATTTACGATTTTCGTGCTACAATATTAGGGACACTAGTTAATTACACACGTGTATACTCATATAAACGTACTCACTTATTATGCTCGCATACTTAAAAGAGTATATAAAACGTTTTGTACTAATTTTTCGTGTAATGGACACGCCTTGTCAAACATTCGAAGCGCAGTCGCTTGTATGTAATTATAGGCATGGTTAAAATGTCAAGTAGAGTGGAAGGTACATCAAATAAACGTAATGAAAGGATAGGTGGAGTAAAAATCGAAATATTGTTGTAGGATGAGTTTTGGAACGCACCGATGTGTGGTAAAAATATAAATTATATTTAATCTTTTGTATATATTAATTATTAAAAATAATATTTAAAGTTAAAAAATTATAAAATTAACTATTCTATTCATGTGTTAACAAAATATATAATATATAGATATATTACTTGATAAATTAATTATCAATTAAGTTGCTTAAAGCACAAAATTTTTAATATATATAATTTATTGTTCTTAATTCAATTTTTTTCATATTAAATGACAAGAATTAAATTATATTAATTCTATGTTAACATAAAATAATAAATATAGTACAGATATTATTTGATAAGATAAACACCGATTTAATCAAAATTTGAATCCTCGATGATGAGAATACGTTTCTTTCGAAAGTATCGAAACGTCGATTCTGTATTTAATAATACTCGTTTTATTTTCACAAAGAAACTGTCGAAACGTTTTCATCTAATCATTTACGACCATTCACGACGTTCACAGATATTGCTCGAAACGTCTGTCCCCCATCTAGTCATTTGTTACGTTCGCGGACCAATCACACGGCGTTCTGAAATTACGTACGCGACGCTTTGTCTCCCTCCTTCGTAGGATCGAGTGAGAAGGAAGCGAGAATCCGGACGCACTTTGCGGAGGGGTAAAACGACGCTCTCTCGGCTGCGCCGCGTCCATTTTCCGAACACACACGGAGAGTTCGGGGGGGAAACGAATGCGACGGATACACACAAATAATGGAGTGTGCGTCTTTCGGTTGAGATTCACCTGTAAATTCGCGATCTCCGCAATTAATGTGGCGTAGTGACGTCGCCAGTCGCGCGCGCTTTCCGCTCGATGAAATGTTGTGCCTTACGTGTCTCTGACTGTGTTTCGTATCGTCCGAATCGAGACTCGGGTTTGTTGTCGCCTGTGAGAAGAGGTCCACGGTAGGGAAGGACTCGCGTAGTCTCTCGACGAGCGAGCAGTAGTGTAAATGAGAGAGAGGGATCAACGAGAGACGCGCTGCCCGCGGTGATGCTGTGACCTTTCGTGAAATGTCGGTTCCCGCTGTGACGAGACTGTGACCCCACGCCGGGTGTTCGTGAGTACCGCTACCGACCGCTGTGTGATTGTCACCGTCAAAGATTGAGGTTAGACTCCCGCGGCGTTAACGCGTACGAAAAACGTAAACCTGTCTTGTATGTCCTTATCCCCGCCTGCGCCTCGGACATTGACGTTGAACTAAAGCTAAGTTAAAACCCAACCACCACCACCAAGCTCCTGGTAGCCCTGTGTCGGGAAAAAGATCTCGCAGACTGTACGTAGTTGTACTATTGTGGTGAATACATTCCGGTGCTGCGGTCTATGCCTTGATGTGTGTATATACTGTTTGTGTGTTATGTTCTCATCTCGGTGAATAGGGATTGTAGAATCATGTGAGTGCGCATCCACTTACAGTTAGCATAGCGACTAATTGTAGAAATTGTTATTTGTCTTGCGTTACCAGGGGAGAGATCTCGAGTTAACGTAGCGAAGAGGATACGTTATTTCGTCGACGATCGTCGCTTTTAACGGCTTGCGTACGTTCCTTACAGGGCAGATCGAGATTATGATATGGGTTCTGCAACGGAAATGATGGTAAATGATTTTGATGACGAACGAACATTGGACGAGGAAGAAGCGTTAGAAGGTAGCGAGGATTCTCACAACGAGTTGTCCAACTTGCAAAAGGTATGTCTCTCCGCGATTAATCTGATTATCGGCACTTGGCACATATACATACATATGTTTATATGCATCTGTCACTTTTGTAACAAAGTTCTGATCCCGACTATTCTAGGATCAAGCCTGAGAAATGAAAAAGTCGAGCCCATAAATAATTACAATTATGATAAGTTTCCGCAACACTTTGGACACAAAGTGCGTTCTCGTAGTGAGATTCCATGTTTAGTCCACGTAAAGTACCCTCGATGTAATAATGATCTATTTCTGTCTCTTTGAACAAGGAAGGTGATATGCCACTGAAGGATCTTCTCGCCATGTACGGATACGGCGATCCCTCGACGGAGAACTCGAACAGTTCCGATCACATTGGGCTGCTGCCGTCCGGAAGCGGCGATCCCGAGACCGAGGAGCGTTATTCCGACAAGGGTGACAACGACGCGGACGACGACGATGACGATGACGAGGCTGACGCAACCAGCAACGAACCGGACCTTAAGCAATTCTACACAGAAATGCTGGTGAAGGGGAAGGACAAGACGTCGTCGTTGTCGGGATCGACGACGAAAGGCAATAGCAGCAGCAGCATCGGCGCGGGCAGCAGGGATAGCAGAAAACGTAGAATCGACGACGATGAGGACGACGATGAGGATGCCGAGGCCGAGGAATGTTCGCTCCCTCGAAGTGGAAACGGGAAGAAAAATAGAGCGTCGCCTATAACGGGAAGTGCTAATACTGTTGCGTGCGATGGTATAGTTAATTTAGGGGGAGCCAGCGCTACCGATAGCACTATTGAAGAAGGTAGCGCCAGTGGTGCGATCGATGGTCCCGAGGATAGGATAGTCAGTGCGGGAATAGGCAGTGGCAGTTCGAGATTGTTACGGAGTGTTTCAAGGCCGCAGAGTGAAGAGGAAGAGGACGATTGTGACTACAGTCCGGACGAGGAGGAATGGAAGAAAACAATCATGGTCGGTACCGACTATCAAGCAGCGATACCAGAGGGTTTATGTCGTTACGACGATGCATTGCCATATGAGAATGAGGATAAAATGTTATGGGATCCCAGCCATATATCAGAGGAAGATACGGAAGAGTTTCTAGAACGTGCGCAACTTCCGGCGGTAAAGGGTGGCTCATTGCCGGCTGGCTCGCATATTAGAGATGACGAGCAGGCTTTGTATCTTCTACTGCAGTGTGGCTATAATCTCGAAGAGGCATTACGAAGACGTCGAATGAATGTACTACCCCCTACGGATGCAGTGAGTCTTTGGTCAGAAGAGGAGTGTCATAATTTTGAATCTGGGTTGCGCACTTATGGGAAGGATTTTCATCTTATACAGAAAAATAAGGTATGCGGTGTATATGAACAATTAAATTAAAAAAAAATATTATAGATTGAAGTAAACGTTCTAAGAATAGAGTTCAACTTATTAAAAATACAGAGGTTTAAATGCATTGCTATATAATGTTGTTTAAATTTTTTCACAACTGTATATAAAGCGCTACTATTGTACGGTACAACAAAATCGCTATTGCAGAATTTTTTTTCCAGTGAAGAAAAAATACATAACTTTAATCATATTATACAATGAATTTAATATATTTGTCAAGTTATCGCGCTATATTATGATGATTCAATAAGCTTTGCTTTTTCATAGGTGAGAACGAGATCGGTCGGAGAGTTAGTACAATTTTATTACTTGTGGAAGAAAACGGAGCGGCATGACATATTTACGTACAAAGCGCGATTAGAAAAGAAAAAATACGCTCTACACCCCGGTATCACGTGAGTATCTTCTCTATCGCAATTCTTGAATTTTACATTAAAACACGAAAACGATTCTTAAAATGAGATGTATCACATGCAACCTACTAACACATTAACTCTAATATAACATTCGATAATAACATTACCCAATTAACACACCTTACAATGTAATTGCTTTTGTTAATACAATTATTACAAACGTGAATGACAGAACCATTAAATTGCAAGCAGGGACTATATGGACCGATTCCTCGAGGAGCAAGAGGGAGTGCGAGATCGCAGCAGTTCGCCGAACGTTCATTGTTTGCTGTATGGCGATGCCAAGCGGCAGAGATCGAGTACCAGCGTGACCAACAACGACGAGTCCAAATCAGCAGATGCTTGGGATGGGAACGCGGTCGATCCATTGGCGGATGTTAACGGCCCAACGCCACCGCCGCCACCACCACCTCCACCTCCGCCGCCCTTGACGTCAGCCGCGACTAGCATGTCCTTGTCAATATGCAATTCCAGTGCTTTGACCACGCCGACGTATTGTTCCTCGTCGACTCGTCATCCGGATTGTCCTTCGTCCGAATCGGGTTGTGTAAATTCCTTAGCGTGGAGCGGTCTAGCGTCAACCCGAAGTCAACCTACCTCTTCAGTCATTACAACGATAACGATAAATACCACCACGGCCACTACGTCTACATCAATGGTCACAGGTCTCGGCTCGACGAATACAGTTACCACTAGTTCCACCGTTCCTGCCGCCACCATTGCCGCCACTGCTGTCTCTAATAACTACTACCATCAACGAGTAACGTCATCCCGAAGCAATGACTCTCACGACACACCCTCGCCCGAGAACATTTTACCTCATCTGCCCCCTTAGCGTCTAACCCGACCTTCAGGTGTTCATCCTGAAAGGCGACGGATGTCCTTGCGCGGAGTGCCTAACTCGGCACTCGCACCATCGCTATTGTCGTAACGCATAATATTCGTTAATATCAAGGATTATATTTTTATACTGTACCGCGCGTAATATAATTATTAATCGTCCTTAGCGCGAGTGCGCGATGTTGTATAGTGGTGCGGAAGACGGGAGGGACGCGCTTTTGCGCGGAAAATTAGAGCATATATTGTATGTAAGATTAAAGATATATACAAATTGAAGCTAAACGCGGCAAAAACGAGCGAGGGTTACTGTAGCTTTCTCTATTTTTCTTCTCTCTGTTTATGAACTTAGAGATATTCCATACAAAAAGAAAGACGCATTTCGAAAAAAAAGACTCGTTGGAGACTGGAGCGCCAGTATTCGACAGAGAAGTGGAATAGTATTATGTACTGCGACTGTAAATTTTCATGGATATAAATCATTGTATTTCATAGTTAATATGTAATTGATCATGATTCAATTTGTCCGAGGCACACCTGTCTTCGGATCGGCAATAAATCTGTAAAAAGTACGGAATTTCGCGAAGTGATTTATCAGTTCGGCGAAGCGAAATAAATATATGATAAATGTTGGAATGATGAAATTAAACTGAAAGTCAATAGAAACATGGTCATCATTATTTTGATGTAAAGGATACGCATAAATACCGCATCCTAATAATTCATTTCCCTCGTTAAGTAGTTGGCTGTGTATAAAATCATATAGTTTGTATTTTCACGTTTTACTAGCAATCTATTTAAGAAACACGAAACATTTCTAATTTACTGAATACACATTATATTATGTTTAATCATTTATAAATAGTGTTGATATAAAAAAGTACAGGCTAAATTAGAAACGTTGAATATTATATTCTTTAGATTCCCGCTGGCCTCTACTCCTCGTCAAATGTTTTTACATATAAATTTTTATGATGTAATATACAATATACGAAAAAAAGTTAATATGTTTATTGAGACATTATCGATTAGCATTTATAAACATTTTTTTAAATCTTTCGCAAAATAACATACGCGCTAAGTGCTTAATTATATTATACATGTTCAATTATGTCAAATTATTTACTTACATTTATGTCAAAAAAGAATAACTTTTAATACATAAAAATGTAGCTTTTAATGTAATTCACTTATATTCATCATTCTAGCAGATCTAGTTTCAGAATGATGAATTCAATATCAAAAACTATTGTTTCAAAAATACTGTTTATCGAAATTGTGCCGAGTCCAACGACTCGACAACTGTCTTGAGTAATTTCCCCATTAACGGTAAGAACTGTACACTGCTGACATTCGTTTTGAAAACGCCAGTAGTGAGGACACTGTCGTCAAGTCTTTTCTCTCGTGTTTCAGTTTGGCTCATCTCCATCGAAGAGTTTTCGTGGTCGGGCGAGCACACCGGTGCTTTGTCAATAGTACTGTCCTTTCGGAGTCTCGCCGGTAAATTCGTTTGCGTTGGATCGCTCGAATCTTGAATCGTCCTGGAACTTCTTGTATCCGCGTCTATCAGAGAACCCTTCACTTGCCAGATGTCAGGGGTACCGCGGTGTTCGAGGAAATCGAAGAAGACTCCCAGTTCAGTGGCGGTCTCCCGTGCTATGAGCTGACGATCTCGCAAAGCGAGCCTGGGGCTTTTCACTCCTTCCAAAGCCTGTGACAGTATCAGGATGAGATTGATCTCCAATGCCAGTCGTGTATTATTCTCGTCCATGGACTCAAACCATGGATCGCTAAATCTGTGATTTCTCGCTACGATTGGACTACCGTTACCCGGAGCGCCGGCGGCCCCACTGCCGCTACTCTTCGTGACGTGTCTACCGGTCGCCAAAGCGGTTGCTCTCGAGAGAATGGTGTTTTCGCATATCAGTGGGTCGTAGGGCCGACGCACGAGTCTAGGACTGCTGAGCAATGGCACGGTGACGTCTAGACCACTGACGTATCCCAGGAATTCTCCGCCAATGTTGGATGACGTCCTGGAGGTTGAGCCGGAGGCCGCGTGAATGATTCGCCGTAGATCCTTACTCGTATGCATGCGCCGAAGATTTTCTGGCGCGGCGCGTTCCCATTCCTTCTTCGCGGAATCTGTTTTGTCTTCGCGTCCGGGGTGCGACGTTGAAGACGCGGGTAGTGAAGCAGCAACGGGCTGCGAGCGAGAGTGAAGAGCCTGGGTGAACAGCTGCGTCGAGCTGATTATCGTACCGTAAGTGAGCTGCGGACCGGAGCTCATGCTCATCTGCGGAGGCCCAAAGTTCATCTCGGCCATCGGCGTGTACCAGTAATCCTGAGTATATATCGTATCCACCAGGGTGTTCAATTTCGGCGAAAAGTGGACGAAGCATAACGCGCAAGTTGTATTTATGACGATCAGCTTGTTCACCAGCAGTTTCAACTCGCCGCTAGGTAACCGACTATCGCAGGATTCCAGCTCTTCAGCGCTCTGCACGCTGATACCGTCAATGATAAATTTGAGTATCCGCGGCCTCAGCAACAGGTTCACCGTACTATCGTACGCCAAATACATGCACTTGATAAGAGTTTCGCGAACGCTCGGCTGTATCGCGTTCCAAACGTACGTTTGCGTGGCTACAGCATGTATAAGAGCGACCAGTGATTGTATCAAATCGGCGGCCAGCAGATCGGCAGTGTGCCTCAGTAACGTGGATACCACCATTAGTTGATGTTCGTGAGAATTTAGGAAAACAACCACGTGATTAACGAACATCATGTGCGTCTCGCTGCTGACCAGGCCTATCAGAAATTCCAAGCCCAGGGTGTACAATGGCCACCAGTCTTGGCAACGCCACTGACCATTCGCCGAATCGTCGTACAGCGAATCGAGCATGCTGTGGGAGATGTCTGCCGGTGGAATCAAGCTGAGCCAGAGTTTCGCGATGTCGTTGTCATTAATAGGATAGGGACAATACGGTGAACGCGATATAACGCCCAACAGGCTCAGAGCTGCTGCGCTGAATTTCAGATATGGATATTTCTGAAGTGTATAACCGACGCATACCATCAGTTCGGGTATCATCTGGCGAAGTTGTACACAACTGGCTCTCAGACGATGCTTGAAATTTGCATTCCGTTCAACATACGATCGTAACAATTGCGTCACCATACTGATAGATAACGTCGCCGGTAGACTTTCTCGTATACCACGGAGCGTCTCCGCGCTGCGACAGTCAGCCTTCTTCTGTGTACCTTTCTCGTCAGTCTTAAGCTCGACGGAGAGTTGTTGTTTTCGATGTTCCAACTGAAGGGCGGCTTTCTTCAATTCCTCTAGTTCGTAAATAGCAATCGTGCAAGAGTGCGCTAAAAGATATTCCAGGCTTGCCGAATCCTCGGCCAAGGTACTTTTGACCAGCTGCACGCATCCAAGCAGCAACGATATCATCGTCTGCCGCAAGGCTTTTCCAAAGCCGCGATAAGTCTGCGCTATCTCTTGCGTCAACTGCGACAGTCTGGTTTTAAAAATCCTCGAGTCACCGACGCACATCTGTTTCCAAGAGGTGATGCATCTCAGGGATAAGGAAGCCAGTAACATCGGAATCTTGCCGCTGCTAGAATCATTGGGTTCCTTCACTCGCTCCAGTAGAGAATCCAAGGCTAATTGAGTTAGGAGATGTGCCTGCGTTACGTTAATCGGATAATTTTTCGCCGTTCGATCGTCAGTAAGCATAACGATAAAGTGGTACCAGGACTCTAAATTAATTTCATACAATGGTTCTATAATTCTGTCTTGCTTTGTACGTTGTTCTTTACTATTCTCGCTTTCGCTGTTTGCAGGAACGTCGAGAACATACATAGCTAATTTTTTCCAATGATCCTTAGATTTATCCAACAGCTCCTTTAAACTTTTTGCGAAATTATTCTCTAATAATGGACTTTTATACAACTCCAATGTAATTACATCCAACAACTGAGAATAACCCTTCGCGCCCGGCACCAAAGTTTTAAAAAGCGGCGCGAACAGATGGCTCCAGAATTTCTCTCGTTTCCGAAAGAAATTGACAAGGATCTCATTTCTGTAATACCACATGGCGCGCAATACTGTCATCGTGCTGTCGTACAATTTATCGCACACGATGTCGTCTTCCTTGTACATTCGTTCTAAATATGAGTCCAAGAATTGACTGCAACCCTCGGTAAGAAATTCATCGGCTGGACGTGGGAAGATTCTCTTGCGTTCTGCTTGATGCATGATGTTGAAGAGGGCTTCCGTCAAGCCAGGTTGTTTCTCCAGACATACGGCAACCAGTTCTAAAATAGCGGCTTTGACCTCAATCGCACATGTTGGCAGAGTTAATCGAAACGCGAACGTTTCTCGTATCGATGTTCCGTCCATTCCCATGCAAACGAGCAAAGACATGGAAAATTCCTCCGCGAATTTCTTCAGTAGTCTTACAGCCATTTTCTGCAACGAAGGGCTAAACCAAACATACAGATAATTAACAATGGTTGGTACTATAAGAAGTCCGTTGGGTACTCTCGGAGAGGAATACAAAGCAATTTCGAGGGGTGATCTGTCGCCCAGTTCTAATCCTAGAGACTTTCTAAACATTAATAGTCGATTGACTATTGACAGAGCCAGTTCCACACTTTTGATAATCTTGAATCCTTTTCCATTGATCCAATTTGTCTCTGAGATCATTTTATTGTGCAATGTGCGCTCGCCTGTCCGAAGTAATTTTAACAGCGCGTGACGTGGCTCCAAGTAGAGCAGGCTATATACCACAACAAGTTGCAACTTGTTGCGAATATCGTTTTCAGGTAAAGTTGAATCCAGAGCTCGATGAATACAAAACATACTTTTTAGCCATAAATCGATCCTTTCTGCGTTTGACTCGAAATACCACGAGTCCAGCTTAGGTAATACGGCTTGCAGCAGAAATACCATACCCGGTATTTCGATAGTGTACATTGTCTCTTTACTGTGCTTGGCGATTAGATAATTGTATAGGGTGTCAAGAAACGCGCGTAGAATGGGATATGTATGTTCGATGGTTTCTATTCCTGAGAGCCACGACGCGATGAGACCACCATCGAAGGAAATCGCTTCCGCAAAGTATAACGGTTCTTGACTCCAATTATCAAATTTTGGATAAACCCCGGATCGCGTGCGCGAGAGAATGTCATCGGGATATCTCAGAACCAATTTGGATGAAATGCTGAGGCATACGGCAACAATTTTATACAATTTCGTTGGTAGTGCTGGATGTGAAAACCGATTAATAATTTCGAAACTTAATTCCGTAGGAGCAACCATGCTCTTTGGTATTTCAATATCCTTGGCCAATAATGCTTCCAATAGTTTCAGGCCTTGACGGACATTTTCTGGTAAATTAGTATTCACCGCGCTGATATTTGTAATTCCACTGCTCGCTTGAGAAAATAACTGTTCTATTTTATGATGCAAAGCATCCCAATAACTCGCTTTCGTACGAAACAAAATTACTTCTTTCTCGTTAGACAACACGGTAATGTTCTCGCGTTCGCAACTACTAGGTATAGTAAACGAGTTCTTTTGAATTATACAATCCGCTTTGTATGGCTGTAATGGCTTGCTATAATCTCTTTGGCGAGGAACCTCTATAGTCAATGATTGTAGATTATCCAATTCTGACGCGATCTAAATAAAAGAATAATTGCTTTCATGTAGCACATTAAATATTTTATGAAATAAATTCGATATGTATATAATTCATACGTTACCTTTTTGGCACTCGTAATTGTTGTGGACGCCAGACCAATAGCTATATTGGTTAATGGTTCGAATTTGTAGGGATACAATTCTTTGGCAACTTTATAAATCGACCATAAACTGTCATTCTGTTCAGCCCAAAATCTAGCTGAGCATTCCGGAAACTTGACTATGGCAGCCAGTGCGTCGAAAATACCTTTTAAAGTACTTAATCGATCCTCATCGACAAAGACACACACCAAGGAGAGAAGATTGTAAACGCTGCTTCGAACGACTTCAGCATAATGGGTCTCTTCTTGAAACATTTCGCAGTTTATCATATCTCGCAGATATTCGAACACATCGAGTTGTATAGCTTTGACGCCAAATGGTCTGAAGCGATTTAACGTGTCTATGTTGTCCAGATCAACCGCATAATTTATTAGCATCCACGACAGGAGTAACGGTCCGTCTTGCGGTGAACTTTCACGAACACACTTGTGCTCGAAGATCTCTTGCATATTGCTCCTGACACTATCTATCCAGTCTTCCATATCAGTACTGAAAAAAAAGACAACATAAAATTAAATGCCCATACAGATAAAACTATCACAATATAAATTTTAATTACGCAAAGCAACAATTTTAACTTACTGTTTGTTTATATCCAATGTCACGAGTAATAATGCTATTTGGCTGTACTGTATCTCTTCAATCTTTTTAGTGATAGCCTCTTTGTCTTCATGGCTTTTTGTACTGACTAATCGTCTAGGTTCACCCTTAAAAAAAAAAATGTTCACTATTTCAGCAAAATTTCTATCGTTTTGAGAATATAAAAAATAATTAAGTATGTGTCTTACCCCAATGCTACCATAAAACTTGGTAAATTCATTACTAGAAATATGTACATCATGTACAATCACAGTCAGTATATGAAGTAGCTCGCGCATTTCAATTAAAGTACTATTATATAATCGATGCAAATGATCTTCTGTACAGAATTGCGACCGTGTGGGAGCATTTACGAACTTCAATGCTTCTATTTGCTTTCGTACAGATTCAAGCAAATTTCCCATGAGAATCTCATTAAAAAATTTCGCAAACTCTTTGTGATGGGGATGTCGTTTGTTGTCTTTATATTCAATCATAAGTTTGAGGCATTTTATCAGGGTCACTCTCTCAGAGTAATAAAAATTCCAAATATCATCGATTAACGCTCTTATGGTAGTAAGATCAGAGAGCTGTGATGCAAAGGTCTCGGCGCAATTTCTGTATTCGTAGGACACAAAATTGCACACCAGATCCCAGGTAATTGTGGCGTCCAAGTTCTTGTAGAAATTAAAAACAGAATACAGATGTTAAAATTAAGTTGCGATAAATCTGATGAAACAATTAATATTTTTAAGTATAAAACAATATACTTACAAGGAGTGGGGCAAGTTTGCTAATCAAGTCGAACATTTGCTGTAAAGGCGGTGGATTTCTTTTAGAGATGCTCTGCAACGATGCATCTGTATACGGTTTGAAAAACTGAAGCCCTTCCTTGAGTAAAACAGTGGCATTCTTTATTTCTTCTTCAACAGTTTCCTTAGCGCAACAACATGTCGTACCCGATATGATGGACCATAAATCCTTGCTACAACTTTTCGTAAATTATTATTATTTAATTATTAATTCTTTTATATTGTCCGGATTAATGAGATCATTTATAAAGACTGAGAAAAAATTAGCAAAATATAAATATAAATAATATTAAGATAAAATCGACAAACATTTCTGTCTCTTTCAAAATAAGATATTCCATTAATAAAGTCATGTGAGATAGAAAATATATATTTGTACTCACGGCAAGTTGCCCATTGGAGCTACTTCCATGTCGAAAATATTATCACCGTATTCAAAAGCCTGTCAAAACTTGTAGTCTTTGCACAAATAAATAACACATATACTTGTAAGAAAATATTTTCTATTTTACAATTCTAATCGCCTGCGATAAATGCATACAAACGTTAACACCGGTACAACATAACCCCAAATTTAACATTGACCGTTGGCGGGCGATAGTGAAATGGGGAAACGTATTCATGTGAGAGTAGCAAGTGTCGATTTCACAGTTTTTCACGTGACCGACCGCAGAAAATCAATCCTCGGTAATCGTTCAACTGGGCGGTAACGGACTGGTAACAATGCGACACTTTGCTCAAAGATGTCGCCACTAGACAAAAATCAGTTCCGCGTCCGCCTCGTCGCAAGTTTTTCTTAAATTTGAATTCAGTCCTTTCGCGTCGCGTTTAACAACCGGGTTGTGAAAATCGTATCCGCGATCGTGAGCGTGAGACGACAAATTGCGGTTTGCGGTCGCTTGACGAGGTAGGTTAAGTAAGTGTCATAATCTCATTACTTGCAATCATGTTTGACGAACCGGCTTCCGCTTTCATACGACGAGCGAGTGTAAGGGAATCGAATATTCGATCGGGAGCGTTTCGCGTTTCTACCCTCGCCATGTTGATTGTCTCGAAATAACGAAATGAAAAACAAGATTACGATTATGCGAAATCTGTTGACGAATCAAGTGGCTATAACTATGATTCTGAAATATTATATTAGCTATCCCGTAGAATAACGCAATATGGAAATTATGATTAGTTCATGCATTATTAGCATTGTTAAAATGGCGAAATGTTTGGCGCTTGATATATCCGCGAGTGCCATCATATATGTATCGCTTTCGAAGTTTCGAAGCGAAGCATTTATAGCGGCGCGTAGCTTGAAGAATTATGCATTACGGGCGGGAGGAAGTTATTCGCAGGGATAAGAATAGAGATTTGAAGGATATTACGAGCGAATTAGCCTTTATCTTGATAGAACGCTTTTTCTCCCCCGCGGCGTGCTTCCTCCGCCATTAATATTCTTCAAGATACGCGAGGCTAGAACTCGGTGGGAGAGAAACACGCTGTATATATATCATTTCGGGTAACACGAAACTTCATGAGAGCGATTATTCTTGCCTGCTTGAGAATTCCGTTTTGCATTACTTGGCGAAATAACACATTCGAGTGACTGAACGTCAACGTATTTTTTACAAACAGCTACGCTGAATTCTATTAAAAAAAAAAAAAAAAAATCATTTTCAAAATATCTTAAGATACACTATGAAAGAGACAAAATTATTGAATATTTTTTTATGCTTTCAAAATCAGATCAAATAACAAAAAAGAAAATTACTTCTTTTCCTGGTAATTTACTGGTAAGATTAATAGTCGTCCCCCGCTTCTTGGCATACATTATATTTTAACGATAAACACTCCGGCCGTCTTGAAATTAGTTTTCCCTTCGGTTGGAGATTTAACGATCCCGGATATTAGATTCAGAAAGGTAATGAAACTCGCACGGCAGCGTCAATTAAACAGCAATTGATCGATCATACACTTGATATCGCTAATTAACGTCACAATTTTGTTTCGCGTCGCGCGTGTGCACAGTACACACGGTCCGCACGGTTATTTTGAAAAAGAGAGGACTCGATGATCAATAGCCGCTCCATCCTGCGGGCATTAAGGAGCGAGTTACGGCGCATAACACGTGCCGAAGAAAAATCGTCCGCGAGAGCGCCAGGTGAAGAGGGCGAACGGCGCTACTGTGCCGCCGAGCTCGGTCGCGGGCATTTATCACACTTAGGATCCGCGACTCGGTCAGAAGAACGTTGACGGCTGATCTCGTCCGCGGGATATTGTCACGGGACATGCTGCTACAGAGCGACGCGTAAGGCGCGACTCACAAATTTAAGATATGCTGCTAGCGACAATGTATTATACACTGTATTTTGCCTTTCCCTATTGGGCCATTATAATCGCTGGTTTGCGTGTTTAATATTCACGAAAAAGCTACTAATACATAAATAATTGTATTGTTATCATTTTTACTGTCCATAATAGTGTAAATGCTTTTAAATTATTCTCAGGTCTATGTTTGATATCGCTAAATCGTGTCTCTCGCAATTATATGGATTTCAATTCAGGACGCGTTGAATAAATTATTTTGACGAATTGAAAAAAAAATCATAGTAAATTGCAGTTAACAATACGATATTTTCGGTTATAACTGATGCTCTCTATTATTCAAATTGTTATCGCATGTAATTTTTGACAATGAAAGTATACGCGGCGTTCAAAAAAGATTAATATTTATATAAAGCGGTTGTTGATTTCGTGATTGTTATTAGTTATGGCGCTATTGTTGCACTGTTCCGAGTTAATATAACGGCGATATCGGTGAGTATAGCGTAACGGCGGATAAATCCCCGCGCAGCGTTAATTAACTCTTTACAACGCCGCCAATTAAAAATCATAAACTGGATACGTGAATTGGCAAACGAACGGGGAGAGTTCACCCGCGGGTAAGAGGCGGCAGTGGTCGCGTGTCAGGGCGCCGACGCGGGTCGCGCGTCGCGGCGCCGGGCGCCGCTTCGGAGATGCTGTTCGTCGCCACGGCCACCAGTGCACGTTCGTCTTGAACGCGGAGCGCTTCGCGTATTTTCATCCGTAGCCTGCCCTGCCGAGTGATTCTCTCTCTTATCGGGCGACTCACTTATCGTGTGCACGATGTCGTCGGCACGTCGTGCGTGACGAGGGGAGAAGCGAGGCAGAAGACCGCGACGCGATTACTATGCGAACCGTTTCGAAGCGAAAGTTTTCGCAGATCGATCGAACGGCCCTTCCGCTCCCCGATGCCGGCGATCATTTCTATCCTCTTTCCCTTCCCTTGACATCGCTCATATAAATCCCTCACGCACCCGAACAATTCCAATTGTGTGCTGTCTTTAATCACACATTAGCGCGCGTCTCCATACGCGATAGATTCATCGGACGCAAATTCGCTCCAACGATTCGTCGGGCAACCGACAGTATGCTGGTTATACAGGCGTTCGATCTGTAACGCAGTTCCGTAACAGGTGATACGCTGTCTCCTTGCAAGCCAGTGCGGTAGCTTATTACGACTCGTGTTTACGTGCGCGTACAAACGAGCAGATGTCATTTTGACGATTCGGATTCAATTTCGAAAGTGCCAAAAAAAATTCGACCGGGTCTAGCGGGACGCCGAATTTCTCTTGACGTTACATTACGAATTTCCCATTACATTCCTCGCACTTGTTGCTAATACAGTTTCCGGAATTAATTGGAAAGGAAAATTTCCTCGTGTCTTTCAAATGCGAGACACACTTTATCGTTTGGCAATCAATCCTGAATGCCAATCGTACATTCGTGCATAATTTTAACGTCGCGATTCTTTTTTTTTTTACGTCTCGACGTTTTGTCGGGAGATACGCGAGAGGCTTGCGTTTCGTTTGCGTATTTACGCAATTTGGCCTGAAAGTGTCAATATTTTCACGCTTTTGTCGCGGTGATGTTCACATCGCGGCTGTATACGGCAATGCGGATGTCCGGTGCATCTCCGATGCATGTGCCCGTGTAATTGAGTACCGCAAGTTCGGTTGTCGGTGCTCGACAACCTTTTGATGGGTCTCACTTTATAGTGCGCTTTCACGGTGTGCAATCGCGGATAAGCTATTCTCTGCTCAGGATTGGTACATGCAGTTCGCTATTACAGCATGCAGTTCTTGAGCGAACTATTCTCTATCCAGGAATTGGTACAGATCGAATCGTTTCCGTGATTTTCGTCGTAAAAAATTGGTCTAATGCAGTTGCGTTTCTTCTGAAATAAGTTATTTTATTTCTTATATCAAAGTTACGTCATGTACTACAGTGAAGAATAATGTCATATTTTGCCTGAGTTCATGGTGGATTTTCTACTGGATATTAATGTTATTAATTAGTATTTAGCTGTAAAAATAATTTTTTTATTAATATATTATGTATATTCATTCATATAAGATTTAGAAAAGTTTTTGGCATGCTATGAGAAAGGAAGGATATCTGAGAAATATTCGATTTTTTTTTACATTTAAGCTAGAAACTCTATCCAGGGTTTTAACAATCTAAAGATTCAGTTATTTAATCTTCGTTTACTTTTGAAGCGGACGTGTGTGTGTTTCATTTTCCCTCCGAATCAGTTTTCAGATAACGTATCACAAAATGTATGCTTGTATTTGAGATATGCAATTCCGAATAAATTTCCTTCGTCTAACTGTTCCCTTATCTATCGACACTGTTATGCGATTTGTTGCAAAATTCCCGATGCGTTAACTTTTCTTGTTTTATTATTTTTCTACATTTCGTTTATAATTAATCTTTCTAGAATTCTGAATCTTTACCGTTAGAGCGGAGATTTTTGGCGAAATATATACCTTCGATGTTATCGTAATACCACATATACGAAATATACGTTATCCTTTCCTTTTTAATCTGGACATCATTTCGTTCGATAAAATGGGTGAACGCGATATTCCAGCAAACTGTGAGCGGTAAAATGTAGATCGGCACATTTTTCTTTACGTTCTCCAGACATTATTCAACAACGCAGGCATCACACCTCTTGTGACTGCCCTTCTCTTTTGATGAACAACTCTTTATCATATATAGAAGGAGAGAAAGAGGATCCGTTATATCGTGCGCGTGTGACAAATCGAGAATCGAACGCGTCGTGGCGTGAAACGTTTCGGGATGAACTGAACGCAATGGACATCGTGTTCGTTTCGTAATTGGTGTTGGAGAGATACAAGATAGGGGAATAGAGAGGACACCAGGAGAATCGACGACGGGACGGCCGTCGAGATCGAGAGGGACGAGAGCAAAATGAGGGCCCCGTTGCTCCTCTTAGGCGGCATTGTTGTACTGTCGCTCGCGGTGGCGAGAGCCCTCTCGTGTGTGTGCTCGCCGCTGGAGTGCGACGTTCTCACCGACGAGGACTGTCCCGGAGGCCTCACCTGGGACCCCTGCAGGTAGGCGACGTTTACCCTCGCCGCTCAGAGAGATCTCCAAAGCAGAGCTCCGGCTCGATACTGGAATACCAACGAGTTCCGTGGAATGTGGCCATTTGCGCGCTTTCTAGTCCTCTCAGTCGGGAGGACTTTGCCCTCGGGATATCAGCGGGTTTATTATTTTTAATCGTTTTCTTTCATCGCGCGCGATACGAGAACGGTTCAACTATTCGTAATATGCGGAAAAGTAGTGAGCGTGGGAAATTTGTGCCGTGGAAGGTATTTTAATAAACTTCGATAATCGAAGAGAAAAAAAAGTATATAGAATTTTGTTATGTAAGTGCATATCGTACCTTCGACACATCACGTACGGGTATATTTGCATACGATATAATTGCCATTACGTCTTTTCTACCGCAAAGATGCCATACTGCGTAAAAACATAATTTTCAATTTGAAACTCTCTAGAGTCGGACTCTTTGTGTTCCGTTGTAACAATTGTGTTCTACTACGCGTTGTAATTAGTTCCGGGTGCAGTGAGCAATTAAAACGCGCGCTACAATAAGGCCCGTTATTCGCGCTTTTTTTTTCTCTCCAGGTAGCGAGAAAACGTTGGTCCTTTGTTGTTCATCCACCTTTGTCTCTGCCCCTCGTGCGCGAATCGCGTTTTCGCGTTAGCGGCTCATTTATGGTGAACCGCGCGCGTCGAGGAAGGCTTGCATGCGCTAAGGATGGCGCAGCCTCGAAATGCTATACGACAGCGTTTATCATCGACGTGTTCGATATCCATGCGGCTGACACGCGAGATCCATGCCCTTGGGTCTATTTTCACCCGCCCACGCGCGCCCACAGCATTGTTACGCCAATGTATGTACATATCACACCGTGTATATTACGCACCATATATATTCGAACGCGAGGTTGGGGTATGCACCTGAGTTTTAGGTGTGCGCTTGTGTTTTATGGCCCGTACAAACAACCTGATGCAGAACAGGTCGGCGCCTAGTAAATGGGGAACGTTAATGGGGAGAATAATGTATAATAAAGTTAATAAGCACGTTTTACTATTATGTAAAAGAGAGATAGAGTGAGATTCGAAAAATTTTGTAATTTGAGAAAATTACTTGCATTATCATTATGCTATTGTAATTATCATTGCACGCTTTGCAAAAAGCTTTACTTTGTCGTAATTTACACTCATCTCGCGAATTATGTTCGTATCCGCGACGAAATAATGCTATCATGAATTATTGGTAAAATAAAAGCCACATTATTTAATGTAGATATACCTACATACAGCATATCGCAATATACAATCATATTCCGTGGTAAAGCATGTTGCAGAGCACAATCTCGCGAATATTACTGCCTTTTTGGTATAAGAGCGAATGTATGTACAGGTTACATCCCCTTTAACAAATATTTGCGAGGAAAGTACCAAGATAAATTCCACTTCGCGCGAGCGCGTACGATCGATGGTAGCTTCATGTACCTACTACCTAAGTCTACGATAACGACGCATTGCAAAATCAGATTGATATGCGTATCGACGCGTGGATGGGCTACCGAGTATTTATGTATATAAGACAAAAGGAAAAAAGCAGAGCAGCATTGTGCTGCTGCGACTAACGCGATAGCTCGCAAGATTAAACTCATTTGCTGCGCGAAATAATGTTAGAGGATGTTACAAGAGCAGTGTATGTGTGAACTAGATTTTTCTTCTCGTAATAAATATAGGAGAATGGATATCGTACGTGTGCCGATGTATACGCACTCGGAGAGATTAAATTCTTTTGAACATTTAACTTTACGCGCATGTACCGAAGCTTCAACACTGCAAAGGATTCGTAAAAGCGATAATATCTCTACACAAAGACACATCCATGTAGGTCAATCTTGATTAGATATCTCTATTACATGTGTGCTTGCGAGGTAACTAGAATGATTCACAGCCACTTGAGCCACTTTGGCCAGGTACATTACACAATACGCAATTAGAAAGCCTTTCATCTCTTCTATATTCACGAGTAGAGGGCGGACGAGGCGGCTCTTCAAACCGCTCTCTTCTCGCTGCAGCTACTCGAAGCGTTAGAAATGTGCGGCTGAGATTGAGATTTCTCCTCGTCCTTTTTTCTTCTGGCTCTTTACGATCGGGAAAGTTACTCGTAAGATGAACAATTTCAGCGTAATTGCTTTTCAAGTGCGAGACAAAGATTGATGCTTGCGCGAGAATCGAATAAGAATCGCGCCGGATCGAGGAACTGTGGATTGAGATCAAGCTGTGATTTATGCGTTAGATTAAATCTTCGAATAAGAGATGCGAATGTGAATTTCGCTAGAGAGAATATGGGTGGATATTCATATCATTGGTAAATCCTCACGGTCTTTACGACGTTGGATACTTTACACGTTGGATACTCGGATCGCGCAAAGGCGGATTCTTTACGAAATTCATACAAGCTCACGGTAAATCTTTCTTGCGCAATTCAAAAGCTTATCCACCAAGCGTTCTGCTTCTCAAACCATCCTCTGCTGGTACCTGGCCTTATTTCGCCCTGCGTATTTCCTCGATATTTCAGCATGTGCACGATAATACAGTCGCGCGCGTCGATACGTACAATATGCTGATTCGAGAACGTCGGAATTGAATTTCAAAGGAAGCGACACGCGTACGCGGAAATGGAGAAAGAATTTTCCAGAGTGGCCTCGGACAGTTATAGCATCTTTCCCGAAGGACCTTTGCGAATTCAATAGGTGTACCTAACGTTTATTGCGTTGTGTGGAATTTCCGGAAGTTCTTACGGGAGTATCTCGGCGATTTAGAAGGATAGACGGGAGACCGTTGCGATACGACGGCGACGACAGCCATCGGATCGTTTCGATACGACACCGAAAGATATCCGAGTGGTCTCAATGACGACGAAGGTAGTTCGAGGAGAGAAGAAAATTTTATGCGTCCAATTCTCACGTACACGGGGGTACACGTACAGGCGCGGCGTCGTTTTATGCAAATTTTCCGAGCGTCAACGAGACGTGTCGCGAGACGCGGGCAATAAGCAATATCGCGGATCATATCGGTGACACACGCCGGTAAATTGTCGCCGTCATTAAAGACAACGTCGGTATCACGAACGTTATCTTTTTACACGCGTCCACGTTTAATACGTCCGTACACTCCAACATTATTTCGTTTGTACACTATGTCTCGATACCGCGTATGTACAAACGACACAGGAGAGGGGAAGAGGGGGGGGGGGGAGATAATTTCGCGGATGCAACCATACGCTGCCATACGCACGACAGAGCTGTCGGCGCGTAATATGTTTCAATGAAATTTCTCTCACTCCTCGTAAACATCCAAACGGTATAACGTTAAACATCGGTTTCAGACCGTTTGGAATCTGAATCTCGTACCGTTGTCTCGATTGCGGCTTTACCCGGTTCAATGCACGATCGAATATCACGAATCGGGTATTCGCAAATCTCATCGAACGCAATCTCATCGTTTCGTATTGAAAAGGGTCACATCGTTACAGATTGTATTGCTGTAGAAATTTTCACTCTTCCATCACAGGAAAAAAAAACCGATCGCATCCTCGATCCTAAGTAAATCGAATGACAAAACATTTTTCAAATATAACGACATTTCTTTTTGATGTATTTTACAAAATCTATTTCGAAGAGCAATAACATCGTCGTCATGTAATTGTCACGAGCGTGGTCAATTATTTTCCTTTACATTCGGACAATCTTTGTCTTTCTTTTATCATCTTTTATCATATATATCGGATTTCAATTTCACGACAAGTAGAAGTATTCGCTTTTCATCTTTTTGATTTGAAAGAAATTAAACTTTTAATAGAAAGCTGACGTACATTTTGTGAAGTCCACATTGTTTCCATTGTGACTATCGTAAGGGTAACTGCATTTTCTTATCGGCCAATGTAAATTAAATTTGAAATTCACGCTTGGTGAAAATTGACAAACACACAGTTACATGTTCTTTCATGAAGTAATGACGGTACATACGACAGAGTATATACATGGAGCACGGAAACCCCACGTTCAGCGGCGTATCGGAAATTTATCGGAAAATATTTAGCATGCAATGCCATTGTTGGCCACGGCAGCTGATATGCGTATTAGCAATTGCCAAACGGAACAAATTATCCTTTTTTAGCCGCCATACAAATACAAGCGCATAACTAACTGCGCACGGTTCATTAATCTTTTTCCAGGTTTATTCCGATCTATCAACCTAAAAGCGATTACACATTAATTACGCAAGTAATACGAGACATTTTGTGATGCGCTTTCAAACGCAACAAAAGCTATATTGCCCCCCCCCCCACACACACACACACACATTGACATTGTTTAAAATACTTTTGAAGCAATACGTATATATAGAAATAAAAATATATAGGTATATATACGTAGAAATTAAAAATCTAAAACTTAATAATTTTACAATAATTGTGTATACACATTTATTATTATGGAATTAATATAGTTACAATACAATTATAATTAAATTATTGATTATTTAAAATCACAACATATAATTGCCTTTCATAGTACAATATAATTTAAATTTTAGTCTCCTGGTCATATTACTTCTTTCCCTATGACCTATCTTCTTGCGTCTTATAAGAATGTGCAGGATTGAAAGCTATATAGAAGTAGATTGTTTCACGGAAAGCGGCAAGGAACATAGGAGGAGGAAAAGACACCCTTCGTCCTCACTGCCGCTGCTGGGACGGCGTAATAAAATTCCTGGTTGCAGTTGACAATTTTCCGCGAGATTATTTTCCGTGCGGTGCGCCGCAGGCTGCGCCTTGAAATTCCTCCCATTCTTTTTTCCTCCCCAGAACTTCGTAAGACTATGCTCCGTGCTGCTGAGCGTGCCGCGCGCGAAAGTGATATGCACTTGCATAATACGTAGAAGCTTCTCAATTTCTTACATCTCGATTCAAGTCAAGTTATTTTCTTCAAAATAAAAATGCAAATGTCACCGCACCTGCGGGATGATTTACACGTCGGATTGTAAATTTCACGATTGTATGGATTGTATCTCATGGACAATCCTAAATATTATAACAAAATGTTGATAGAAATATTGATAGTTATAAATGTACATTTTTGTATATTCTTATGAAATTTGAAACGCATTTGAAATATTAAAGAGTGCTACATAAATATAACACAAATCTGATCGTATAAGAAGCCAAACTTTGATATTTAAAATTGTCTTAGAATTTTTGCTTCAACGTAAAATGTTGAAATTGTTATAATAAATCTATTTAAAATCTATTTTATTTTATTCATACGTTACAGATATTTTAGAAATTTTTTGCTAAACTGTTACTCAAAACTTTTATTCCCTGACAAATATAATAATAGACTTATGTCACTTTCAAACTAATGGGCTCGCGTCATTGTCCTAACATATCTATAGTTGCTTTTGAAAAGCGACACAGACGAAATCGTATTCTTTCGTTTTGCGAGTTTAAGGAAGATACAAAGCTATTGCAAGGGCCGCTTTGTATCTTTAAAACGTTTATATCCCTTTGTCGCCCGCAGGATTTCTTACACAAGAAAACAAATGGACGTACGTTCGAATCGAAGTAAAACTGGTTGGCTGCGATGCGCTTGTACCTGCCGCTTATTCGTTTCATCTATCTCGTCGTTTTACGTCGGCAACAATTTTCCGTTATTCGTTTTTCGTCGATAAAAAAAAGAGTAAGATTGAGCCTTAGTGATTCTGAGGCCAAGCATTCCGAGAGTTGAATATATTTCCGATACACGTTACCGGCGGGCAACAATAGCACAACGAAAGCTAATAATATCATTCGTTTATATTGCGTAGAAACTAACTTTTCTCGTTTCTGCTTTACGTGTGCAAAATTTCTATAGCGGTAAGAATTAATTAAAAAAATCTCCCTTTTAGATTATTTTCTCGCTCTAATAATATTTCGAATTATTAAAGATGAACGTATGAAACATCGTGTATATGTATAATAATTTTATTATCACGCAAAAATGCGTGTGACACGTAGTGGTCTAATTATAACTTTCCGCTCGAGTTATTTTATGAGCTTGAAGTTGCCTGTGGCGTGTAAACTGACTTGATTTGTGTATCGAGCGTGTTCTGTACAGCTATATCCTCTCTGTATACATATATAAAACGATTGACCGAGTTTTATGTGTCTGCAGGTGTTGCAAAGTATGCGCGCGTGTGGAAGGCGAGCCTTGCGGCGGCCTCTTCGGTTTTTCGGGAACCTGCGCTGTCGGTCTACAATGCGTAATCATGAATCTACTGACTCGCAGTCGAGAAATGGACGAAGGCGTCTGCACGAGTGAGTATTTATGGGAAAATTTTTATTTAAATATAGAGATTTCCGAACGATAGAAAGAATCCTACCATGAAAATCATATGTAATCACTTATGTCGGAATGCGTCTCGAATTCCTCGCGATACAATTACAATACTGATAGAAATGCTAATAAAAATTTCTTCGTTGCGATATCGTTCCTTTGCTGCAACTGGAGAAACTGGTAGCAAAACGTAATACCAGTAACGAACTCTTATGAGAAATTTTTAATTCTTACTTTTAAAATTAAATTGCGCCTAAAAGGAAAAGATGACGTTTGAAATTCATAATTTCATAAAGTTTTTATTGAAAGCATGTTTTAAATATCAATGCCTGTACGATTTAAAATCCATTCTTTTAGCAGTGATATGTCAGTTTTATTATAAACCCTTCGGGAGAATTACCCGTATGTATATTTCTCAGTGTATGCTTGCGATAAATGTAGAGAAATATGGTGATTGTTTTACGTGAGTAGAATGTAACGTCGTCTGCATTTAATAAGCGCAAAATCGACAACAAATCTCTGTGTAAAATGTTTCTAGATACATATATGTTGATACGATTATATCGCGAATATTGTTTCATTATCCCTTTTGGTTTATACCCTATTGTAGAGTTATGTAGCATTCATGAAGATAATTGAATAGTTTGATACGAGAGGAACTAATCATGGATGACGAATAACGATTACACAGTTCCTATTTTACGATTTTTATCTATGCAATAATAGTACAATAAACCATAATATTGGTTAACTATAACGAAATTGATATTAATGAATATTTTGTTTTATATATATCTATATACATGTGTAGTTTTATATATATATATAAATTTGGTTGTTAGTAATAATATACTCGAGAAGTAATAACAGATTTCTGAAACTCTATATATAAATTATTCTATATTATATATTTATATTTAATTGATTAAGTATGTATATATTGAAATCCATGATTATTATGGTAGTATTATCGTGATATAATATGGAGAATCTTATCCTCTCCCCGTATGGTAGTTATTGTTTTTTCTTGGAGCACGCACGCCATATCCACTTTATCTTTTCCAATACCCGGCAAGGTCAGGTAAAACAATCGAGGCCGTCGATTATATGGAGCGACATAATGATAAAATCAATAGTTATTATCAATTTTCTAAACAATTAGAAAATGCAATACGCGTTTAATGTAATAACTACAGTTTCCGAAGCTAATACTAGTAATATCAATCCAAAGCGAGTTTCAAACTTTGAAATTTCGTGCTGTTAATATTCTGTGGGGTGTGTAAACTACGCTTATAATTTATATGAAACGAGTACAGCAGTTGCACGTGAATATTCCGTACAGAGTATTAGACAACGTCGTAGGTACTTCTATTTCTGAGCCTGGACATACTAAAGCACTTTAAATCGACGATGTCTTTTTATTCATGCAACTTCCACCGTTTGCTCGAATTAAAACAAAAATGTTACAGCGGTCGAGGTCACGGAGAAAAAGATCGTCACAGTTTCTGAAACTTGGATAGGACTCTCCAAATGGAAAAGTTAGTTTAGGCAAAGTCATGTTTGCGTGAATACATTACTTTTCACTTAGAAATTTTCCACTATGCCTTGTATGTGCAAAGTATTGACTCCGTTCCTCTATAGGTATGGTAGTATCCAAAAATACGAGTTGAACATTTTCATTATTGAACATTTGAATTTTTGCGACACGTGTGCGAGTCATATAAGATAATTTTATTTTACATAGAGATACTTAATTAAAATTACTAAAAGTACAATATGAACTATTTTTAACAGTTCGATTACAATATCCTGAAGATTACATTAAATTTGGTTGTAATCCTTTGTTAGAATTTTTTATGATTCTTTCTGTTACCTGCAAATGACAAAATCTATAATAATTTCTCTTTGTATTTATATAAAAACATAAAGATAAATTACGAGAATAATCTTAATACAAATTAGTATCAAATCATGAAATGTATCATACATCATCATATTTCTTTCTTGCAACGGAGTTATATATTTCAGTTTGTGTATTGTTATTCATCTTTATCTTAGAAGGAATGATAAAAATTTAGAAGTAAAAATTACAATTTCGTTTGAAAAACTCTACAAATGCATATTTACATGCATTTAAAAGACAGATTAATCCTAAGATATTCTGCATATCTCTTAGATTTGTTCTTACTACAATGTTTTTACTTTTTTATATAAAACTCCCAATTCTCGTATTAAACGTGAGCAGAACAATATTTAACGATTTTTTAATCTGATTTGCGTATTGTCGATAATTACACTGGAAAAGGATGCTTGCTTTCATTTTTCAATCATTGAATAATCGAGTGCGCGTTTTTCAGGCATTCAGTTTCACCGTGAGTCCGCGTATTTTCTCTTTTTCCTCATCTTTTCTGTCGGTTCAGTGTCCTTTGGCCCCTTTGAAAGTTCTTAACGCTTTGAACAGAATTGTGTTGGTGAATTTAGAAATCAACGATCCTGCACCGCTTGCGAATCTAATTGAGCGATTTTTGAACTTGTTATAACTCGAATTTTCCAAACTTCAAAGTCAAACGACGATTTTAGAGATTGGAAAAGGAAGTAATTAAGGGCCGCGAAATACTTTTACGAAAAATGTTCTACTCTATCTTCAAAGGTGGAACTTCTTTCAATGTAAATTTTGTCCGTGCAAAAGGGCTTAATTATTGTAGGAATTCAAATATTAAGTGTTCTCATTTGAATTTTACAATAATTTGATTAAATAATTGTGTACATAAGCAGATCGTGCCAGTCAATCTCTATGTCAGTACATAATAATAATGTATGTAATAATAATAATAATAATAACAAATTTAACAAAATATATAACATTATTATAACAACATTAATTATAAGTTATAAACTGAAATTGATATCGCAAATTTACACAATCATAACCTGTTTCTGAATAAATTAATCTATTTCA